TATGTACTTGCCGTAACTAATACTTTGCATGAATAAATATACGTTTGTGCGAGTCATGTAATATTTTCAAATGATCTTTAATTCTATATAGAAAATTTAAAATAAGTAATTTAATAATTTTATTTATAAAGATTTGTTTTTTATATGATTTTTTTGGTAAAAATATGCTATAAATTAAAAAAAGTAAGATTTTGATAGGAAAATTATTAAAATTATACAAATTAGAATAAATCAAAGAAAGTAGAAGGATTAAACTCTCGCAACTAAAACTTTTTCTGTATTTTCAGCAATCAGATCTATCACATCAGTAGTGGATTCTCCCATGAAGTACTAACTACCAAAATTCCTTTTTGTGAAACTGTATGAAATGATTTTAAACAATATTAATCCATATTTTTAAGTCTAAATTAATTTATTACTATTTTTATTACTAAAAAACATATATGTGCATAATATCTGAAAAAAGGCCCGTGCATAATGCGCGGGCAAAAAAATCTAGTTTTAATAATGTTCCAATCTACACTTCTTAACATTTAAATTAATAAGTTCTTGGTACACCAAAATAATTTTATGACAAAAAAGAAAAAAGAAAAAAAAAAATGAAACTGAAAGATTGGAGACTTTATATTTCCACCCGCTTCAAATCAACGTGATGAGAAAACCGACGCATGCGGCGGCAACACCGCCCATCACGTTGAGTCTAGTGGCGGATGATGGAGCTGGCGGCGGAGCCAGTGATCCACGTGGAGAAGGTGCGGCTGCCTTGTTTCCTGTTCCTGACGGAATCTTACTGCTCTTTGGTGCCGGGGAATGAGTTGACCAGTGAGGAGGAGGAGGAGGCGGCGGCTGCGATGGGACAGTTGGGGTGTTGGAGGGTGGCGGCGACGGGACTGTTGGGGTGCTGGAGGGCGGCTGTTGGCCGGCAGCGACGACCGTGTTGACTTGGAGCTTCATGCTGGAGACGCAGTGACCAAGTGTGCCGCATATAAAATATCGAGAGCCGGCGGCAGTGAGGGGGATGACGGTGCGAGTGGTGCCAGGGGGCTGCGGCGGCCGGAGAGGGTTCGTGGTGGTGCAGGTGGCGAAGTCCGCCGCGGAAACTTCAAGCACATTGTGATTCCGGGTGTATTCAAAAACTGCATGTAAGAAGATGATGACATGAATGTAACCAATTAAATAAGTACATTTTAGTAATATTTCTTAGGGGTTTTTTTGCTGATATTGATAACATAGGAGAGTTTGATTATGTCAATTTTGGTACTTTTAAATTTGGCAAAACTGGTATCACAGGACCTGAAAGTCATTCAGACTGCCGTCAGCCGACTTCCGTTAAGTGTTGGTGGCGCCGTTAGTATGCCACGGTTTACACATATTTAAGGAGTTGATTCACATATTCAAGGTCTTATCACACATATTTGAATTATGTGTCATGTTGTATGAATGCATATACGTTAAGGATACCTAATTCAAATATGTGTGACAAGACCTTAAATATGTGAATCAGCTCCATAAATATGTATAAACCGTGGCATACTAACGGCGTCGCCAACACTTAACAGAAGTCGGCTGACGACGTTACCAGTACTGAATGACTTTCAGGTTTTGCGGTACCAGTTTTGTCCAATTTAAAACCTATAGTGCCAAAATTGACATAAATTACCCTATTTCTTACATTAAGCTAGGTAGCTAGGTTCAAATTCAAACTCCAATTACAACTTAATTAACCACAATAATCTTGAAGTTAATCCATCTGTAGTTTTTCTCAGAAACAAAAAAGGATCAAATATGCCATGGATGGTTGAGAAAACAACTAAATGCAAAGAAAATTAACAAAGAGGGATCAAGAAGGAACGATTGAACTCACTCAAGATGTCTTGAGGATGGAAGGTTTGGGCAGAAGACCATGATGCAAGATCTGTGGATTGGTCCCATCCTCCATTGTCTCCTCCAACTGTGTAATTCACAACACCTACCACTGCACCATTATTATTGCTCATCCAAATCATTACCACCATTAATAACAGCATCATCTCCTTCATCATCTTGATCACTTCCATTGGATCTTAATTCTTGTATATTGCAGTAACAACAACAGATATGGAATTAAGGGTGTGCAGCCCTTAAGTTGGTGTTCTTTTCTTCCTTCAGACAGTGTCATCTGATGTGTCTGCAAATATAAATGGAGAAAAGAAGTATGTTACTAGGTAGGAAATGGTAAGAGTCAACGATCAAGATTCATGAATAATGAATATGTGGATCGATGTGCAGCAAATGACTGCAAATTTCTTGATTGGAATATCCTTCATTTTGCAATACTATATACTATTTTCTGGAAACCACGTCGTGGGTAATATGATCGATGACATGCTGTTCTTCATGTCTATACACACAAACAGGATATATATAATCATGAGGTAATAATATATATATATACATATATATATATATATATATATATATATATACTAGATTGGATCCGGCTGTGCACGCACAGCCGGCCCTAGTCCAATCTATAATTATATCTAGTATTTGTAAAATTTTTAATACACACTTACCCACATTTTATGGAGCAACCAAAATACCACATTTTTTTTGTTTGTTTAAAATGTTTTTCACAAATAATTTTTTTTTTTTCAACAATTTTTTTACCACTCTTTTGACTCATTTATTTGTAACATTTAAACAAATTTCTCAAAATAATTTATACTCTAAACCATTCTCATTTCTCAATTATTTATACTCTTTTCACAGCCGTCTCTAGTCCAATGTATAATTATAACTAATATTTAGGGAAATTTAAAAATACACATACGCGCTTTTTATTAATACTGAAAATATGTGGTTAAACGTTGCATTGTGTTACAACTGTTTTGTTGTTGAACAAACCTATATTGATGCGAAAATGTGTCAACTGTGGTAACTTGTGAAATAAATGACTAATAGAACATTATTCACCATTTGCTCCAAAATAAACTCAAAGAGTTGATCATCTGCATCTGACACTCAAATTTAGTCTAAAATACAGTGAAAATTTGTCATTAGTTATAATGATAAGCCAAGTTCATGTCCAAGTCGTTTAATATCTTAAAAAATATTGGTAAATAATTATTTTTGCTACGAATGCATCTTTTTTTTTTGTTTTATAAATTATTTAAATACTTTACTTTTATTAGAAACACCTACAACTATTGGAGAATTTTATTGTCTAAAGAATTGCAAATGTGGTAAAAGTTGTAATTAGTCTATCATTATGTTATATATTTCGTAAAATTGTTAACCTCACCTCACTGAGCAGAATATATATACATTATTGTGTGCAAGTATCAGGCAAACACTACAAAATACACTGCAAAAACAGTACTCAATTACTCAAATAGATGAAGCTAAATATACATTTTCTTAAAATGTAAAATCCAATTGATCAGTCATTGGAGAGTGTGCAAAACATGAGATGATTTAAAAAAGGTCAAAAACTAACCAGTCGATCATGATCGCACACAATTTCTAGTTTATCACCGGTTGTAGTTCCATATAGCTGTGAGTCGTGCCCTCATTCTGCGCCAACAAGCAAGAAAAATAAAAATCAATTTAGCAAACAAATTTTTGAAAAGGATTCTTAAGCTAAACTACAAATGGTAGATTATCTCAGTCGATACCCATTAGTCGACACATCAGACGGGCTAACGGACCATATGATAAGGGTCCTAAAAGCCGAGCCAAGATATGGCAATCTAGGATTTTAGAGATATGGGACAAATGTAAAAAAAAAAAATACGCAAAATTAAAATTTAATCATCATCTGACTGAGAAAAAGCAAAAAACTGGACATTAAAGAATAAATTTCATATCGAAGAAGAATTTGAAACGAAATTCCATACCAGTAGAAGAGGCTCCGATTGATGGCAGAGCTTTAAGGGACCTGAAACTATGCGATTTTCTCCGTGTACCTGATCTTTTGAATTAGCAACAACGTTAGATCACATGAAACTCAAAACAACTGCTCCAATAGAGAGTTCCTTCCTGCAGACAACCTAAAAACTGAGAGTTTGGTAATACAAACCTAAAAATATAAAAGCACACAATGCAGAAACCAGAAACATTACCTGTTGCCATTGCCCCCAAAATCTCTTGTTCAAATAAGTTGTGTTGGTCTGCCACTGGCATAGGACACGAAGAACGCGGTGGCAGACGACATTGCCCACCAAAATCTCTTTAGTCATGATGTCTCCAGCCTTCGTTCACTTGGATGACCTTCCCAGGACAATTATCTTCCAGAGGTAATCTGCAAATTCCGTAAACAAATTAGCGTTAGGCCAACAACCAACTTATTTAGCTAATTTCCTATAACTAATCTTAGTCTCTTCTCGTTACGTCATTAAAGGAAGCTTTCAATGCTGCCTCATTAGGCAGATATCGATCGATTTTTTATTCCTGATAGAAGTCCTTCATCTTACTGACCTGTGCATATTCACTCAAACCAAGGCAGGAGATTCGCTTTTTTAGCTAAGGCTGACTGAAAACGGGCCGAGTGGGAACCCACCCGTCTTAACGGGCTCGGAACCTGGCCAAAGCGCTCCGACGCTGGCCAAGTGGACCCCTCGATTAGTAGCCGCCACTCGCGGAATGTAGGACTGGCCAAAGCGAAAGGGCAACTCGGCATTGCCAGTCTTCAAAGAGTTCCTCACATTGTTCTATCAAGCTCCTTCGATTCAGTGGGTACTTGGAGGTCTCTACTACACAAATATGACTCATCTCTTTTCTTCTTTAGGACCTATTTGACCGATCCGAGCCGCCCGGTTGGCATATTATTGTATGAAAAGGAGTAAACCCGTTATATTGCCCAATGTACCTGCTGCAATATGATGAGAAGCTATTCCTCCCGGAACAAAAGGATCAAAACCTTCCACGCCCCACGACGGTGCCGCTGTCGTGAGTTCGTCCGCCGTCAGCATTGGTTCAGAGCTCTTGGTCCTGGACGAGTTCGACCACGTATACATACCCCCACCAGGTCGCTTGTTCGACCGTTCATTCCTTCGTCTTCCTGCTAAGCGTTGCTCGTAGAAGGCTTGACCAAGACGAAAGACTGAAAGTTAAACTAAGGGTCGATTACATTGACCTGCAGATGTAAGTACCATTTTATGATGCCCCACCACTTAGCTAGGTGCATAGTTCGATGTATATTTACAATCCAACAAGAATGCTCAATAATCGAGTACTCTTTTTCCATCTAAGCACAGAACCAACAAATTGAAATGATAAGGTCACAATCATAATAATTTCTCAGTTTTTCAAATACATACAAATCAATCCCTAAGCTAAAAACACACTCAAAATTTTGTCATCTTAGCGTAGAACCAACAAATTAAAATCATAAGGACTCAACCCCTTTGATTGCTCTTTTTATTTTTTATTTTTTTTAAAAAAAATCAACAAATTCAACATACTCACATTTTGCCAGCTTAGCTACTTTCTGCGACATCTGTTGAACCAGATTCTCGACGCCCTCTGATTGAACTTAGATTGCAGAGCCTCCACCGGCTGCAGTAGCGCCTCCTCCAGCTTCCGTCGGCGGCTTTTCAGACCATTCTCAGTGGAGAAAGGCTTCTTTACCCTCTCCGCTTAAGAACTCCTTCGTCAAATCCCTAAAAACAATAAAGAGGGTATTTTAAATCTTAATTTTAATGTTATCAAACAGGTTAAAACAATCAGTAAGAAAGAAATCTAAACACCAATAACTTTTCAGCTCGACAATATAATCAGACTTTATATCAGGAATTTCTTATTTTCTTTTCACATCCTCAACGGCTTGAGCTAAAGTTCTCAATAGGTTCATTATAATGTCTGTAGCTTTGACACAACAATCATACTCGGATGGCAAAATGTCCAACATAAGATAAATGTCCTTGTTTACTCCAACCAAATGACCAAGCTTCAATTTTTCATGGTCAGGCAGACTCACTGTCATTGACACATGATATATTAATGGTGTACAATGAAGAAATATGAATATTCACAGATTTTAAAAGAGCATAAATAAACACAGAAGAGAAGCATGACATCACTAAATAACCACTAAAGATCATTATACACCTTCAGGTTCCACTCTTCACAATCAAGATATTAAATAAATGAACTTGCAGCTTTTAAACTATCATTATGAAATGATGATTTGGACCATAAGATATATTTAGAGATAACAAAGCTTTTACGTACTTTACATAATCATTCATATGCATCAAAAAATAAAATAATAGGCGACCTCATGCCAGCATCAGCCGGACCAAAACCACGTGGAACAACCTTCTCTTTCTGCACATAATCAGAACCTGCAGCTTCTTAAGTACACCATCACTAAAATTACGTACATCAATTGTTAAATTACTCAGCTTTGACTTCAACTGTAAAACTTTTGTCCACCAACACCATCAGCCCCATCCACGATCAATTCCTCATTCACATTGTTACCAATATTTTCCTGCAGAATATAACGTAACAAGCACCTGAAAAATCATAATAAGAATCTAAATGGGTCCTCTTACAATTTTAATCTGGGAAAAAAATTCCTCAATTTAAAATGTGAAAATCTCCATGTTACTGATTGCGTGATATCGAAACTAACCTAAAAGAAGTTAAAAGCTGGTCATAATAATTTTTGTACTTAAACAGCCTATCGCTAAAGAGTTGCATGATAAGAAGCATAGGAACAAGGGATATAGATCCCAACAGAAATTAAAGCAAGATTAATACTTGTTTAGCAGCCTCAACAAGAGGCATCCCACTTGGCCTAGTGTCCCTTCCCAAAAAACACTTTGGCTGCAGGGGCTCCTTCAAGTTTAATATTTTCCTTCATCACAAAATCACCCAACAACTGTTTCCAGCATCAACTAAGTCTTAAACAACCAAATAATACACATGACCAAGAAAAGAAGAACAAAGCAAAAAGAACTTCATTAAGAACTGAATTAACTGTTGCCAATTAGCTAAAAGACAAACCCACTAACCAACCTCCATCCCATAATTCACATGTTATCGAAAATACCGCAATGAAGAATTGTACGTGCATACCTGAATGAGAGCAACTGAGTCAGCATCCCGCCTGATGGGTCCGCCACTTTGATCCCGTTATCGGTTACAGCGTTGTGTGAGGCTGTGATCATGAGGCCGATTGTTGACCTGGTCTGAATGGACCTCAATGCAATGTAATCATTGCAAGCAAATCATAACACAAAAAATTATCATCTCAATATTGGGCCTATTTATTTCTTACGAATTCAGAATTCAAATCTAAAAGCAAGCACAAGGTAATGAACAAGTAATAGGCTTACCAAAAATCAAACAAGTGAAGCTTTTGTAGGCATTCACAAAAATGATAGATGGACTACTAACAAAGTTCTATACTGCCGTTGTGTTTCAAGGGTCATATCTTCCTCACTGTAATTATATGTTACCAGAACACATAATAGAAGTGGAAGACGGTGACACCTGAGGCGACAGCCGCTGACCTTTGTCTTCCGCTGGAGCAGAGTGGCCCTTGACACCGTTCTCAGATCCTCGGCCATCGAAGCATCCCTGACCAGATCCACCTGCAAAAAAGTCCATCGAAAGAAAAAAATAAATAAATAAAATTACACACGATGTCACATTTTACACTGTAGACAAAAAAATAGAAATATAGGCGGCCCTAGTCTTTCGCGAACAACAAACCCCAGCCTCTGGAAAGTAGACGTCGTGGGCTAGCAAACTTCCTCACATTAGTTGCAGGGGCGCTCGTTGGTCTCCATTATCGGGCCGCACCAGACCCTCTCCGTCGTCGTTCGATGCGTCCGCGACTCTGGCACCGCCTGCGTCGCTGCCTCCGCACGCTGAAAACACCGTTCGATCCGCCTGCGTCACCTCTACCGCTTTCGTCTTCAAAGCTCTGAAGAACGGTGCGAAGTTGTGCAAAAATTTGATCGTGCGGGAGGATGGTATAGAGAGAGATAAGGAGATTTGATTTTTTAGTCAAAGATATGAAATAGATTTGGTAGGTTTTGTGTAGAGAACGTCTGACACACGCACTATCAGGAAAGCTTTTTTCCAAATTCAATTGACCAATTTAGCATAAAAAAGCAGCCAAAGAAAAAAGTATAAAACCTAGTAAAATATATTCTTTACATCCTGTTGGAACATATTCGAGAACTGCATGGCATGACATTGTGCCTTAACTGTAGATATAAGACATCTTCACTGCCAACTTGATCCTAGGGATCACAGAAAGTTCATGCATACCTAAAATCTGTCGATGGATCTTTTCCATGCCAACCCATTTCCTTCCACTGGTCTGATATTAATCCAAGGAATTCCTCTCCAAGAAAGGCAGCATGCCACAAATCCCTCAAAGCTTCATATAAAGAAAATAGAACTGATTTGATGAGAAAGTGGAACTAAAACTTATAAAAGCTCGCCCATCTGTAGTTCTATGAATTATACCTGATGTTAAGGAACATAACTACCATAGTTAACATCTATCCGGTTTTGTAGCCTATGCAAGCATTCCTCCTGATGCATACAGTAATTCAGAAACATCAGAATCTAGTGAAGTAGGCACCAATTGTGGGATATTAAGAGAAAATTAGCAACATAAGCCATGGTTTAAATGATTCAATAAAACTGAAAATTACCTGTGCTGGTGTCAAATCAAGCATCACAGTCTCTTCCTTGAACATAAACACACCAAAGGCTTCTGCCTAGCCATGCAGCAGACCCTGCCACAACCTCCACTGTAACAAAAGGAAATGATAGGCAAACATGAACAATGTAATATATTAAGAGTCCATTCCTAGTTCCTACTGAAAAGATGCAACATACTTTTATATCGAGATTCGAATTTTTCTCCAAGTATGTATGTACTCATGGTTTCTTTACATAAAATTACTAAAATACTACATTACGTTGAATAGTTTAGAGTTAAAACAAATATACTATACAAGAAATGCAAAACCTCGACCATATACACTCTTTCGCACTTTTAATCACTGTTAAACAGAACAATCTTTACACATGTTAAAAACTAACACAAATCTAGAATAAAAGGAAAACAAAAACTCCGGACAGATCTGAGAAGGATGACATTGAAGCAATAACAATTATGAAGTTTATTAATCCTATTCAAAACCATGCAATTTATCACTATCATAGAAGGTGCTGTATGTGAAATTGTTTTACGAAATCGTAACAGATTAAAATCTAATCAAAAATTTAATCAACTATTCTGTTCTGTAAACAAATTTTCTACAAAAAATAAAAACAATACAAAACTTGTAACAAGTACGCCTAATTGCTGAATCCAACTTCACCAAAGCGCGGCCCATTTCAAGAAAAACAGAGAGCAAAAGGGAATTACATAAGAAAGAACAAACAAACTCCAAAAATAGAAACAATGGAAACAACCAAAAATATCAATGCAAGTAGGCATCAATTAACGTAACTTCCTCGATTTCGTACAAAATATATTCATACAGTTATGCATATAGACACATAGTGGAAAATGAGACGAAAATCAGAATACCATTTCGAGAAAAAAGATGAAAAAGTTAGAGAGAGAAAACACTAAAGATAACGCACACAAAAACGATGCCAAAACAAAAAGGAATATACCAGAAGTAGAATGGCATGTGCTTCCTCGATCGAGCCCCTGAGAAATACGCCGCACGACAACAAACGATCCACCTCTATCATCCATTTGTGCCGCCGTCACTCAATCAGTTGATTCAACTTCTCCTGTGAATTCCTCAATCCAAAACAATCTCACAACCGCTTCCAATTCTATTTCACCAACTGATTCGAAAGGTGTCGGAATTCGGAATGGCCTCGAACTGGTCCCTATCAAGAAAAAAAGGAAGATTCATTTCAAGATCTATCCAACATCAAATGAAGAAAAAAGTGGGAAAAATTTGAAAACCACATTTCTTTTACATTTTCTAGTAGTTGATACAGATTGTTGAGGCTTTGGATAGCTTGTTCGGGAGCGATGAAAATGGCAGCACAGAGGTTCTTCTCTATCTCTCTCTACATATACATATAATTGACATATAATTATCTTCATATATTAATGAAATAAAATTATCTGAATTTAACAAACAATATGAAAGATCACATGAAATAAAATTATCTGAATTCAACAATAAATATGAAAGAGCACATACCTGATCCTGTCCCAATCAGCTACAAGCTCCAAATAGAGCCAACAAGCGCATAACCCTTTGCAGCTCTCCCTGTGGAAAAAAAAAAGAAAAAAGAAAATTATGTTGGTCTCAGTACTTTCCCAAACAAATTTCAATGGAAAAGAAGGTCACGGCGGTAGGTTAGGAAAAAACATACTAATTTGAAATAGTTGTGTTAAGCCCATAACCTTGTAGAGGACTCCCTTGGCGGCGCTGAGGCGGAAGAAGCTGAGGATGAGGAGTGTGAGTCTATTGACGGTGGTCAGACCCTCCGTCGTTGTTCACTGCGTGCGACCCAGATGCCGCCTCCGCACGCCGGCAATGCCGTTATATCCGCCTGTGTCGCCTCTACTCCTCTCGTCTTTAAGGCTAGGAAGAACGGAGCAAATTTGTGCAAAATTTTGATATGGCAGGAGGATGATACAGAGAGATGAAGAAGGGAGATCTAATTTTTTTGTCAAAGATACGATATAGATTTTGCGTGATTTTGTGATGCAGATCGTACAGTTATCAGGAAAATCTGGAAATTTGTCTCTCAAATGAAACATAAAATGAATTTGATCCGTACGCAGATTCTACGGGCATTTATCTAGCCAACAGCGTTTGTATCAGCAGAATTGAAGGGCTTAAAACAGTCAATGGCAAATAGGTAAATAAAGTGTCCAAGGAAGGATCTTTTGGTAAGAATAAGACATGTGTCGTCTCCACATCAGCCCAAAGTTATTTGGTTATATGTATCGTAGAGATATGTTTATAGATAGATGGACAGACAAATCTTGAACATGGGCACCATCCTCACATAAAGTCAATTGATCTCTTGGTCTTCCTTAAAACATTTCTTTAACAAAAACAGAAGTAGTCACACAATATTAGTTAGGGGGTTTTAGATACTTCCAAGTTCCATCCTCAGTTAAATGAATGACATGCATAGAATAGAATCTAATTAGCAAGTAATAGAATGCAATATAAGGTTCAGTACCAAAACTGAACTGATATTAGGGGGTGAAATTGAAATATACTATATTCGGACACAAAATTTGAAAATGCAGTTTTAGTTATCGCCTAGATTACTGAGATTGGATTGAACTAATAAGCTCCAATAAAAATTACAACTCCTACTAAATTACTGACACGTGGGTTCATTTCTCAAATATTTATCTACAGTAAAAAATATTTATTTTTACCCCCC